ATATTAATTATAGAAATTCATTTTTTAGCGGTGAAATCTGGGGAACTGCAATGGTCATTTTGTGGATTTGAGAACTTCGGCTATACCAACTGACGCATTTAAAGAAAAGGTAAAAATACACTTTCTGGCACTAAAAAGGTGAGGTATTTTTCTGTGTGAGGAATCATCAGAAGATAATGAACATGTGTATACGCGTACTGCTGTATGTCATACACAATGCAGACCTATACGAGTTTTCATTCAAATCGACAGAACTGTTAATTTGTTCCTTTTTTTAATTACGTAACTTTCTGTCGCGTAACGCAGCCCTATGTTGTCTCATTTGCATTGACACCCCGGTTAAATCGAACTCATATCAACACAGAAGCTTCCGTTTCTTCTTCCTGTGGTAACGCTACTGCCCACTTCGTTGATCAATTAATGCTATGTAGTCCTCACTTGTGAGCCGGGATGGCTCAGTCGGTATAGCGACTGCCTACGGGCTGGACAACCGAGGGGTCAGAGTTCGAGTCCCGGTAGGGTCAAGAATTTTCTCTTCTCCGTATCGTCCAGATCGGCTCTGGGGCCCACCCAGCCTCCTGTCCAATGGGTACCAGGGGCTCTTTCTCAGGAAGTCAAGCGGCCAGGGCGTGAAGCTGACCACTCACCTCCAGCTAGTGCCGAGGTCAAGAAAATATGGATCTATACATCCACTCACCCATACGCCTTCATGGTCTAATGCTTAATTTCTTAAGCACAGGGACAACTTTACATTTGTGTAATCTTCACATTAGTGTTCGCCGATTCATCTGTCTTTGTATTATCTGTTATCTCATGCCTTCTGTATAGTCTCAGCCTTCCTCGCCATTTCTCTTTCCTTCGTTCTTTCGTTTTGCTACATAAACAAGAGAATATATACCTCCTGCATTTTCGGTAGTCGTTTTATAATAAATTGACTTTTCAAGCGTCCAGGCCGACTCTGGGGCCCACCCAGCCTCCCATACAATGGTAACTTGGGGCTCTTTCTCCGGGGGTAAATCTGCAAGGGGTTTAAGCCGCCCAGTTACCTCTATCTACTGCCGAGGTCAAGAATGTTGGAACTTTAGTTGTACCTCCACTCCCCTAGACGTCTTCAGTGCGTGGTGCTTAATTATTTCAGCATAGGAACAACTTTACCTTGAAGCGTGTCGGCAATTAAAACAATAAAATTTGTACGCCCCTGAATTTGCGATGTAGGTATGAAAGAGAGAGAGAGAGAGAGAGACGCGATGAGAAATGTGCAAATCGCAGCGGCGAGATTGAATCTTGGAGCATTATCACGTGAAGCTGCATTATCTCTCTAATGCTCCCTTTTTGTTTCGGATGTCCTCTTAATTTCAGAGCCTGTCACTACGTCTTCTTGCTCCGGTGCTAAGTCCATGGAGATGAGCCCTACTTGAGAAGCCGCCAGTTGTGCAGCTACTCGAGAATTTCCCAACATTCTACAGAACCCGAAGGTTCATTACTGTATTCACAAGTGCCCTCCACCGCTCTCTATCCTGAGCCAGATCAATCCAGTCCATACCACCTCAACCTATCTGAGATTCTGTACTGCTCATATATTTTATGTTTTTGTTTCATAATTGTTATAACTAATATGTTAATATAACTAATATGTATGTTGGTATGTAGATGTAACTGAATACCACAGCGACTGACCGCAGTTGGGTCTAGAACAGAACGCTTCTTGAGAAAAGCTCAGCTGGTCAAGTAATACTGTACATTTCATGGAACCGGAAACTCCATCACCGCCTTCACAAGAGCCTCTCTTTGTACCATATCCTGAGGCAGTTGAATACGGTCCAAGTCTTCACCCTACATTTATTTAACACCCACTTTAATATTATCCTCTCGTTTGTGCTTAGGGGAGGACCCAAGATAGCTCAGCCTGTGTAGCAACTAGGATGCGGGCTGGACGACCGAGGAGTCTGTGTTCGATTTACGGAAGGGGAAAGTGATTTCTCTTCCCCAAAGCATCGAGACCGACTGTGGGCTTCCCAGCCTCCTGTACAATGGGTAACCATGGCAGTTTCCCAGGGGTAAATCCGCCGGAGCGTGAAGGTATCCGGTCACCTATTAGAATCGTGATTAAGAATATTGGAGCTACACATCAATTCCCCCATACATCCTCATGGCTTGGTGCTTAATTAATTACTCGAGGGTTAGCTCAGTCAGGATAGTGACGGAATACGTGCTGGATAATCGGGGTTCAATTCCTGGCAGAGACTAAAGGTCTTTCTGTTGTTTTGCAACGTCCGGACAGTCTGTAGGACCCACCGAGCCTCTTCTCAAATCGGTACGGGACACTTCCCCGGGGTGAAGTTAGTGGGGCTTGGTGCTGACCACGCACCTCTATCTAGTGTAGAAGTCAAGAATGATGGAACTATACCTCCACTCTCCCTTACGTCTTCATGATATGGTGCTTAATTAATTAAACACAAGGTAAATTTTACCTTTGTCTTGCCTAAGCTATCTCCTAGGCGATCACAGTAGCCGCGCGGTCTAAGGCATGACCATCTTCGCCCTCTCGAACATTGGGATCGTGGGTTCGAATGCCACTTGAGGCATGGATGTCTGTGTGCGTTCATTCTGTGTTTGTATTGTTCTGTGTGTAGGTAGCGACCTTGCCTCGCACTGATCCCACGTCAAAGGAGTCCTACTGACTGTATATATGATTAAGAAACTGAAGAAGCGACCAAGGTCTAACAAAAGGACTGCAGGGTCAGAGAGAGATAGATAGAAAGATAGATAGATAGATGGATGGATGGTTGGATAGATAGACAGATAGAAATCTCTTACCTCCAAATTAAACTATTAAATATGCACTTGTTCTCTTACCCATGCGTGCTACATGCCCTGATTTGATGAAGAGCTCTCTTATAGATCCTGTTCGTGTGGTTAGCCTGAGACCGTAGCACGGTTGTGGCGATGCTGTGCGTAGTCTTCTCGTTGCCGTTCTTTCATTACTAATTGCAGGATATGTGCTTTAGCTTTCCGCTCAGTTTTTCGAGTTTAATGAGGAGCAATCGTCAGAGGTCGTGTAACCGTGAGGTATCGATATATCGATACACTACTGCGTCGATTGTGTGCTCTGTGTGCAGCAAGAGAAACTGACGAGTGGGGAAGCAAGCCTGCCGATTATCCTGTTCAGTCCAAATTGAGAACCATTCGTGATGACGGGTCCGGCATTGCAGTCTCTCTCTCTGCTCCTGATTACGAACCGAAATAGAATCAGGCGGCACACAGTACAGTCTCATCTAGACAAAAAATGGGTTTTTCTTTTCCTGTTCCTCGTTTTTCTATCTAAACACAAAACCTAACCGTTTTTTTTTCTGGCTTGTATTCGATAAGGTCGAATCGGATTGGAACATCGACTGCCTTGAGGATATTCATGGTTCCTATAGGTCACTGTTTCCCAAATGGGGTTCGGTGACGTGAACATAAGGATTCCGAAAGAAAATTTAATTGTATTACAAGAAAAAATGACAATTTAAATATCATATCTCTTGATTTCAAATAATTTTCATTTCTGCGCTCTGTTTTAGATTAGAAATAACCACTTTCTAAGGAAGACTTTAATATATTTAAAGTTTGCTTTTTGCCTCAGAGGAAGATGCTCTTGGAAAACATGCGACTCATCAGCTGATAGCATTGGTCACCGCATACTTATGCGAAATCGTATTTTTTAATTACGCAACAACAAAATTCAAAATGTTGAAACAGACTGAGCGCAGTGGCAGATCTGAGAATTCACCTTTCTAATACAAATTCAAACACGAAAAAAAAGAAGCAAAATTTCGCTTTAAAATTTGAAAATATGTAGTGTATAAGATTTTAAGTTTCATTTTTATATAGGCTACATGTAATATGATTTATGTCTATAAGTATATTGACTTAAGTACTATATTGATCACATATTCTTGTTTAATATTTTTTATTATTGTCTCTACTTCTTTGTGATCTATTTCTTTACCCTCATATGTAAGAATTTTATTATGGGTTCCGTAAAAAGTATTTGTAGAACCAAAGGGTTCCATGGCCAAAATAAGCTCGGAAACGCAACTGGAAACAAGTCATGGGATACTGCCTTAAATTACGCTACTACCTCCTCCTTCCGCACCCTTTTCAGTTCCATATTCACTGCAATTCATCCACCCACACGTTAACAGGCTGAGTTACTTACAGCGCCATTAAATAAACATGCACATATTCCTATAGTCAATGTGTAAACGCATTAGACGCAATAAGAGTAAAGTTATCCCTTTGCTTAACTAATTAAGCACTACGCCATGAAGGCGTATGGGGGAGTGGATGTATAGATCCACGTTTTGTTGACCTAGGCACTAGTTAGACGTGAGCGTTCAGCTTCACACCCCGGCCACTTTAGCCCCCGGTACCCATTGGATAGGAGGCTGGGTGGACCCCAGATGCGGTCTGGACCACGTAGAGAAGAGAAAAATCTTGCACTACCGGGACTCGAAACCCGACCCCTCGGTCGTCCAGCCCGTAGCCAGTCGCTATACCGACTGAGCTATCCCGACTCCCCAATAGACGCAGTAGTGTGGGCTTATTCTGGAGGCTCCTGGTTAGAATTTTGATTGAGAGTCACTGTCTTCAGTGATTTTCGTCGTGTTTCTCAGTTTTTGCTGGAAATTGCAGAGATACTATATACGTTCCTTCCAGTATCTTCATTAGACTCCTGTCCTGTATGCACCTGATAATATGAACCACGGAAGGAAAGAACCCCCCCCCCCTTTTCTCTAAGAAGTACGTCATGTATTCCCAGCACTGTCTTATTATAACGTCCCTGAATTTCGCATCCCTTTATTATATGTTAATTTACACATTTTTCCTTTAGTTCCCGATCTCCTTTGGCCCGTGAAGTCAGTGTAGATTGAGTTATGTTCTCATGACGTCAGACCCTTTGTGTGCGCTGGCTGGCTGCTGAGCTATATTGATGTCTCTGCTCTGGTTCTTTTCAGATCACGTGCGTGAATTTACCTGTGGCAAGTTGTATTACCGAACCTTCTATTTGGACGAAAAGAGGGATGCCCTTTATGTTGGAGCTATGTAAGTACATTCCTTAGAAGTTTGCCTCAAATTACAGTATGAAATATGATAGTCGATTTGGACAGCCTGTGTGGATTTTCTGGTAGAAAAGATATCGCTTTAGAATCACATATCTGGCTGTACAGTATCATAAAGCAGAAAACCACAATATTAAGACTATTGTCTACTTCTTTATCATTTCTCTTAATTTGTTTACTTTTAACTTCCGATGCTGTGGCGTTACTTATGCGTTGACTTCGGTTCTATCATTGCAGAATGGAAACCACGGGAAATCCTAATTTTTGGCAGTATGACCCGATTGTAATTAAATACTGAGTAGAATCATAGAGTCCGGTCTATAAAACCGAAATTAACGGCCGTGGGTATTCGTTGCGCTCACCATGCAATACCCTCTCCGCTAAAGTTGGCACTAACTTCGCCGACAAGCGGCGGTCGCTCGGTCGGTATAGTTCGCTTGCGGACTAAAACCACGGAGTTTGTTTTTGTTTGTAGAATTATAGAGGGGAGGAATAAGGAAGCTGGTTTCTTTGTTCTTAAAGTGGAGCGAAGTATGAGTGGTAGTCTCCATATAAACTTCTATTAACTAACATTTTTACATTGGTAGAGATGCTAATGTAGTTTTCACAAATGGCACATGTTTCAGAAAAGTAACAAGAGGAAGATGTTCCCTTTGTGTATATCAATATTAAGACACGCTTTATAATGTCCCTCTGCGATCCATCTTTCCTTGCGGTCTGTATAGTGTTTTAGACATTTCTACGGGTGTGCACCCGGTACTGCATTAGAAATTCAGATATCCTAGTGTAAGAGCATGTGGCCCATAACCAGACGAGCTCTGCAGTATGTGGCTGCTACTCAAGTGGAGTCAGTCCGTGGTACAGCCGCATCTCCACAAATGATTCTGCATTTTCGTGTATATTCAAATGGATAGTCTGTACTTGTGTGATGGCAGTTCCAGAAGACATCTCATTTTGAATTCATTTTATAGTTTATATACCTTCAACGTCCATCGTCGATTTTAACGGGGGAAGTTGGTGCCATATCTTTACAATTTTACCATCATCATCATTTTCAAAATAACCCTTTTTGGGCCATAGCCCTCCTTGGAAGATTCTGACAGATTTTTTATTTATTCTGGCTCTCAGCTCTATGGATTCCGCAGCGTTTTTTTTTGTAGGAGCCTTGCGTCCAAACCCCCAACCTTGAGGATCAGGTCTCTGTTTTTATGTCCCCCAATGTCAAGATGGTCCAGTTATACCTCCACGGAGCAGGTTTCCTGTTCTTCGCCTTCTACGACTTGCAGGGTTAAGGTGGGGTTATAGTAACCCGCCTCCACATGGGATCTTCACAGTTTCACTTGTGCCAAATTTAGGCGTATTTTTATAAGCGATATAATTATTAAACTTGTCACGTATACTGTATAGTTGAAGTTTTCTGTATCTGGTTATTTTTAACAGCGATTTGCATATAAAACATTTTTAATATTTATATCTAAAAGATATTGTTTTAAAATTGTAGAATTGAATTAGTCTTCATGTAACAGATCTCTAATACCTGCATGTATAGTCCTGTATGGATCGAAAACTGAACCCGGGGATTCGAATCCCGCTGACAGCACGGGTTCATACCTGCCTTTTCCTGTGATTTGCTTCCTTGTATAGTGAATTCCTTGCGATGGCACGAAAAGCGCCCAGAAATGTCATTACCTGAGCATTAACTCGGAACTGATAGACTGTGATAGCTGAAGAAGAGGAAACCAGTGAGTGAGCAGAGGCCTTGAATTGAGTAGCCTCCTGCAGGCGTCACGGCGCTCGCGCCTTGGGACGCAGTATGATTATCATAAGGATGTCGTCTTCTCATCTTTATGCCGCGTGCATTAGCAGCTCTCACTCCGCATTACCGCGCTATGAGGAGAAATGAGTGAGTTAAAGAACCACTCCGAACAGTGGAGCAGCTTGCTAATGCTCCTGTAATTGGAAAGAGCTGTATTCCGAGGTCACGTGTAAGGAAAAAGGGTTTCAGTGATTAAGTTATTTAACGGAGCTGTTTGAACTCCAGGAGTAGATCACGTACGTTATTGTCCTCAGTATTCACCAAGAGAGAGATAGAGAGAAGAAACAGAAGGACCTCAGGTTATCCGGTACCCGGGCCGGGATTCGACCCCAGTATTGTCGTGAACCATTTTTAGATTAAATGGATGCTCCTGAAGTTCTCGCCATTTCAGTTAACTTCATGTTTCTTTCATTGGATTTTACTTCCAAACGTGTGAATGAATTGGCGCCGGATATATTCCTGACATGCAATCTCGAGGAGTGGTGTAGTTTTGTGATCACTGTGCTGGACGCTTCCATCAGACGAACTGCCATAGAAACTGCTACAACACTGGAACACAAATAAGAGTTTAAAATAGGTAGTCTGAAGCCTAATCTAAACATGTATCTATATTACAAAGCGACGAAAGGGTACGGGGTCAGGAAAGCTAATGGTTCATTTTAAANTACACTGTGCTGTGTCTGTAATTAGTGTTGTAGCTGATGACTCAGCACATAAATAATAAAGAATTGTATTATTATTATTTATTTTAACTGTAAATGGGGTTTTACCCGGTGGCAGTGGTACTACAATAAGACACAACGCACAAATAACACACATCACACAGAATAACATACCCCACTCAAACAAAACACAGCACACAAAACTACACAAACAACAAAGATCACACTGCACACAAATCATCCAACGTAAATACAATTACAACTACAATTACATAAATTAATATTAATAAAAATAGACATACTTCACTATGCAGAATTAGCAGTAATGGAATACGCAATGCCATGATCTGATGCACTCACATTTCATCATGACCTTCCTTTCATTCCACTTCACTACACTCACGTACCCTTCACATCTTCACCACAATTCACTTCACTTCACTTTCACTTCACATATATTGCGAAAAGCAACGAAATCCCTTAAAAATAGAATTTATGGCCGAGGTTATAAAGTTTTCACTAGAACATGGTTTTCTTTAGTCCCATTAGAAGCAATCATGGGTAGGTACTACTCTTTTGCGAGCATTAAGCTGTAGTGGTCAGTTCAGGGTATTGCAAAGCCAGTGGGAACTCTCATGAGAAACAGCCCTATTACAGAGTGTGGCGACCCTGCCTTATGCGAGCTCCAGGTCCCACTGGCCCAGTGGGTAGCGCCTGGCAAGGGCTCCTTTCCAGGGTTACTTAGTGGGTAGGACATGTTAGCCACCGTAGGTAACCTGAAAAAAAAAACTCTGGATACAAATTCACAGTCCTCCAAGGTAGGCGGGTTTTGCAACAGGCCGGTAACCTGGCCAAGTAAAAAAGAGTTACTCGTCTTCAAACACTGAATTGCTGGATTGACGCAGGAAGACCTAGAAGAAGATGGCTACATGGCTAAATGATTGAGGACTAGACGGGCTAACAAGTTCAACTCTTGCAGAGGACGATTTCTCACGATCCTTTGAAGCTTTGTGGCTGCCTGCTCTGGTACCCAGACGCACGTGTCACAGTGTCTGTTGTCTGAGTACGATATTTCGGACGTTGGCTGTTCTCTCGTTTGACTGTAAATGAGTCTGTGGATACAATGACAACCGATCACAGTGGCCGTGCGGTCTAAGGCATGAACCGTCTTCTCTTGCTCGAACACTGGGACCGTGGGTTCGAATCTCACTCGAGGCATATCTGTGCGGGTATTTTCTATATGTAAGGTGGCGGTTTTGAGACGGGGTGATCCTTCGTCCAAGGAGTCCTACCGCCTCTATAGACTAAGAAATTGAACAAAACGGTCCACAAGGGCCGTAGAGCCATATGCAGGTAGATAGGTACAATGACAATTAGTCGCCTGAAGTCAAGAACAGGGACGGCTCCCAGTACATCTTATCAGACATACTTGACACAATCAGTAATGTCCAACCTCTCATTCCTATAATACAACTTTCTTCGGTGTGCAATGGTGTAGATTAGATTCTCATGGATGAATGTGGGTTCCGGTAGCGGGCTGTTGTAAAAGCTGGTTATTAACTCGTCGGAGGCTTTATTTGTTTAATGTGTGCAGGTGTGGACTGGAACAATTTGGTCCGGGATAGGGACCCTGGCAGGTCCTCACGATCGTGGCATTGAACCTGTGGATTCCTTAAAACTTACTAGTGCGACTGTTGGCTTCTCAGTAAGGGCTCTAGCCCACGAGATTGGTTTAAAAATTATTTCCTGCTGTCTTTCCAAAGGTCTTCCTAATACCATCTTCAGCGTTTTCATTTATTTTTCATAATTTTTTAATGATCGAGTGATAGGAGTTCAAGTCCCGGTAGGGTTAAGAATTTTCTCTTCCCCACGTCGTCCAGACTGGCTCTGGGGTCCACCCAACCTCCTATCCAATGGGTACTGGGGGCTGTTTCCCCTGGGGTAAAACGGCCGGGGCATGAAGCTGATCACTCACCTTCAACCAGTTCCGAGGTCAAGAAAAGTGGGTCTATACATTCACTCCCCCATACGTCTTCATGGCCTAGTGCTTAATTAATTGAGCACAGGGACACAAAAGAACACAAAATTCACAATTTGTCCTTACTTAACTTCGAACACGGTCCCCACTTATTAGTCCCTTTAAGGGAACTGTCGGACGTTAATCTCCAGTGAGACGGGGTACGGCATATATTGAAGTCAGGTGATTGGTAAGGCTCTTAATTGTTATTTCTTGCTTTACATTTCTCGTACCGTAGACTAGTGGTTGCGTCATTCTGTACGGTGTTATGGTCCTGTGTCGGTGGGGGTAGCAAATGTATAATGAGGGGGGCAGACCTCGGTTAACAGATTTATTTTAATTCCGCGAGGGGGATATAAAATGAATGACAATGGTGGCGGTACCTGCAGGGGTTTGCGACAAAAGTGCCACGTGGTGGTGGTGTTCGGCCCCTCCGGGACAGATAAACCCATCCGTGCTGTAATGCTGAAATATGGTCAGCACACCAG